TTGAACGACCAATGACGTGCAGACAACTGAGTTCACAAAAACAAGAAAAAAAATATTCAAGGAGCTGAAACATATTTTTGGGACAGTTAAGCACACTTAACCTTGAGTTTGCAGTAATGCAAAACATTTTTATTGTTAAAAAAAAATAGCTGAATCACTACTTGGAAAAATACAAAAGAATAAAATGTTAACAGTAATGAAATTTAGTTTGGAGTAAAATGTCCTTAATGCTCAATTTTCGTTATGAAAAATATAATTTTTACAATAAAAAAAAAAAAGTATATACATTTTTTTAAAAATATATATGTATGTATGTGTGTGTATATACACACACATTAGAAATTATATTTCTATTATGTATATAAATATATATACTATACACACTACAAATTATATTCCCATTTATATATATATATATAATAGAAATATAATTTCTAATATTTTGTAGAAATATATAAATAATTATATATTCGCTAAATATTAGAAATTATGTCTATTATATTTAGAATATGTATTTTTGATGTATAAAAAAGTATGAATTCATATTTAATGATATCATTATGTAATTATGGAGGAAAATGTGCTTAATTGTCATGAAAATCTATAATGGAAAAGTAAAATAAATAAACGCTTAATTGTCATTAAGACAAAATATAATTTATTCTATCATTCTATATACAAGAAATATATAATTATATTTTTGCCAAATATTGGAAATTAATTTTCTGTTATATTTATAGTATTGTTTTGATATATAATAATATATATTTATATATAAACCATTCCAAATTATTAATAGAAAAAATAATTTCTTATAGTTTGCATTTGCTCAGATTGTGGATTGATGAATCACCTCCTGGTTTAATTTCTCAGGCGAAGGCTTTCATAACTACCACCACACGTTTCCCTTCGACTACGCCACCAGCGAGTTCGGCTGCAAACTCAACCTGACCACCTGCTTCATTGACTTCATGTGTTTCCTGGGTCTGGCCCGAGAGCCCAAGCGTGTGTCCAGAGAGGCCGTGCTCGCTCGAGCTCAGCGCACCGGAGACGGCAGCCACCGGAGCGGCTAACGAGCGCCGTCCGTCCTAACGAACTGCACACCTGAAGACAGAAGGACGTCTGCTCTTCCGGCGCTGCTTCATGTCAGATGACAAATGTTGTGTTTCCCAGTCTAGCCTGTGAAGCTTTAATACGGGGGATCTGACCTGTTTGTGTAGCGCTTATCTTCTTCCTCTTCTCGACAGCAGATGTAGATATTTTTGAGTCCAGTCTTGTAGCTGATTTGCCAGTTTACTCAAACCCTGTTGTCCTCCCGGCCCTTTTTGTGCGCGTCTTACCAAATCTAGCTGTGCAGTTTGGTAGAAATGAACTAAGATGCACATCTATTTAATATTCAACAGATGCACCTTACTGCATCTGGACTAAATAGAGATCAGATGCAGACGTAGTTCATAATTTAATATTGCCAATCTATTTTGTTGCCATACTTGCACAAATGGTTCAATTGCGTGAATTCTAAGGAATCTGTATTGATGATTCGTGATTATATTTTTTGACCACAGCACAAATACGACACAAAGTCTTTTTGTTACCGCTGATTGAGATAAATTTAGTGTCTAATCTGTAAACGCACTTATTTGAGTAACATTGACTTACAATTAACAGTAATTTCGAGGTCACCGACGACGACAGAGAAGGAATCTGTCGCTGGATTGAATGGTTGAGATTGCGTGAGAATGACGGCGTGTATTGATTCCTCATTATTAGGTACTGTAGAATGTATAGTTTGGTTTTGTATTGTAATTAATCGTGCAACACCATACTTATCTTTTGAGTCCCGCTTTAACGTTTTCATCTTCTAAATACATCTGTAGCGTGAGCATGCTGTGTTAATACAGACCTCTTTTCTATGGCAAAATAATACAGACGGACGAATCTGTGCATTCACAGTAATTATAATAACTCATGTGTGTTATGATGCCAAAAGCCATTGTGTTGCATGCAATCCGAATTGGTGCAAACTGAGGTTTTTGCTCTAGTTCACCTGTATGTTTAATCAAACATAATGTATTTTCAGAGAGTTTTCAGTGCTATTTTTCCATTTTTGGATTTCATTTCACAAGTTGCTTGTAATTAAATTGTTTGGTAACTTTAAAAAGCATTCGGATTGCAGTTCTTTGAAGACTTTATACTGTATTTTGACTCCCGTTCCTCTCACCCAGGACAGATCGCCTTATTTTTACTCTTGACGCTTGTGACTCAAGATGCCAAAAATGCGGTTGTGATATTTCTCATGCTGCTTGGAAGAAGCCTTTGGCTCTTAAAACTAAAGTGATGCTCCTGTTTGCGATAACAGCCTGCAATAGTCAGTAGACACCTGTTTAATAATCATTTACTGGAAATAAAGTCTCAAGCACAGAGCTTCTACACTTTCTGACACGTGTCTGAGTTCTGCACTTCATTTCTGCCACTTTTCTCTGTTTTGTGACATTTTAAAATAATTGTAGCAGTTCTCCTTTAATCTTTTGAACATGTATCACAGTTTGTATCATGCAATTCTGAGAAAAAAAGTCAGAATTGCTCGATCTACAGCCCTGATCTGAGAGTCTTCCTGCTGTTAAAGACAGTGCATTATTTGCACAGCTCATAATCAGGAACTTCATGTCTGTGCTTGTGTCTGAGTCTCTGGCAGCTTCTGTCTGTAATGGCATCTATCCAGACTGCTGAATCAGCACTAGCTTCCACAGTCACAGCAGAGACACGGATTCGTTTTATTCAGACTGATATAACAAATATTTAACAGGTTTTGCATGCATGCCGTTAGGGAGAGGAAACAACAGGAAGGCTACACTAATTAATGCAATTACTAAACATAAAGTACTTCATTTGTGTGACACGCAGAGCCAGAACCACAGTGTTATTATCGGCCACTGCGGCGTTGCGTCATCACGGCGGAAGGTTACAAGCGTTCACAACATCTCGGGAATGTCAACAGCAGATCAGCGGCAGCCAATCAGCAGCGCCGTATGACCCCGCCGGACCAATCAGCGAGCGCCTCTGATGAAATCATACAGCGGCGCCAAAATGAGACACTAACGGTTGCGGTTTCACAGAACCACATTCATTTAAAGCTTCTCGTGTGGAAACTCAGCCGGTGTGTGTCGCGTCATGATAAACCCAGCGGGAAAATCCGCAGTCAACTAGTAAAAGTAGTTAACCATGAATGAAAGTGCAGTTTTTCCCCCGTTTTTGTCAGAATGCCACATGCAAGCGCAAATATTACTACTGAATTTGATGCATTAATATTTCTGTTCATGAATATTACATGAATATATAAATATATATTGCAAGATATATTAATAATATATCGTTTTATAAATAATTATAAAATTTAATAGTTTATAAATAATTTATAAAATAAAAAAGATGGTCGGGTCATAGTTCACGTAATAAAATAGATTTCATTATGGAATTTCCATGGAGTGAAACGCATCTTGTTTTTAGGTTGATGAGGAATGTTTTGAATTCTAAAATGTTTCTTTCTCGCCCTCTACAGGATAAACTCAAAATCAAAACCCTTAGAACCCTCATGTTCTGATGAGATTGTCTTCACTGACACCATGATTTGTGTACAAAATGTTGCATTTTCCCTTAAAAATCTTTAATGTTCCTCCACACCTGCAGCAGATCAAGGTTTTGAGGTTCATTAAAACTACAAACAGGTGTGTTGGAAATAAATCTGTTAAGTTCCGACACAAAAATAATTATTCTGAAGAACTATATTGTTTTTATTATCCTTTAATTGCTTGATATGCCCCTTAACAAAAACAATGTAAAGAAATAGCTGACACATTGAGCATTTATGAATGTTGTGTATATTTTTCTTCAAGTGTTTGACTCACGGCCTCAGAATGAACTGCTCTCATGATGCACACAGACACAGAACTGCACCAATGCATTTTACCAGGTTAACTGTTTAGTCACATTCAGTTTCTCTGCTCTGTTAAAGTACTGAAGAATCTCACAAAAACTGTCCAGGTCATATTTCACCTCAAAAATCGAGAGAAATTACATTTTGAATAAATAAAGAGTATTTTAGGACCATTAATGTTTAACAGAGTTGGTATTTAAAAAAAAAAAAAAAATTATTCTTGCTTTTATTCATTGATTTTGGGGTGAGATAAGAGCTGGACACTTTCTCTCCAGGTTGCACCACACTCGCTTCAGCCCAAAGTCTTGCAGAATTCAGTGGCATTCATCTGTTGCAATGGATTGAAGGACATTAATAAAGCTCTGGCTTCTCTACAGCAGTGTTTGGAGGACAAACAGCAGTGCAGTTCAAGCATCGGCCTCTCTGTGAGCGAGTTAGACTGAAAACAAGCCTTCATAAACCAATCAAACCAATCAATCAAAAAACATGGAACTCATAAGTCAGTCAGTAATGAACCTCGTCCACAAACAATCATCACGATGAATAAACTGCAGAAATTTCTGCTCTCGGAATATTAAAAAACACTGGACCTCATCCATGAAATGCATTCAGAACGAATCATGACAAAATCACGTTCTTACATTCTCACTTTGAACTGAATGTGACAATTTACACTAAACTTTTACTGAACAATTATGCATGGAAAATCATTCTGCTTGTGTAGACTGAACTGAATGCAATAATTTGCATGATAATTTACAATAATTGGTTCGGCTTGTTTTACGGCCCATTTTTATGCAAACAGTTGCATTCAATTCAATGCAATAATATTACAATATAATATTGCATTGAATTGAATGCAACAATTTACAGAAGAATTATTTTACAAATGATTTGCACAAATTTTGGTTCTTTTTGAAGGCCTTTTTAGGCAAACCGTTCAATTCAATGCAATGCAATTTATGACACAACTTGGCAAACAATTACACATTGCATTCTCACATTGAACTGAATGCAGTAATTTAGACAAATCGGTTCGGCTTGTTTTAAGGCCTATTTTTAGGCAAACAGTTGCATTCAATTCAATGCAATAATTTTTTATGAACAATTATGCACAGAAAATTGTTCTGTTTGAGTAGATTCTCACATTGAGTTGAATGCAACAATTACGCAGTAATTATTTTACAAACGATTTGCACAAATTGGTTTTGCTTGTTTTAAGGCCTTTTTTAGGCAATCCTGTGCATGCAATGCAACACAATGGTTTTACGAATAATTATGCATGAAGTCGTTCTGCTTGTGTTTCATGACAAAGCTCTCACGTTTTCACACTGAATTAAATGCGACAGTTTAACTTGGTTTAAAGGCCTATTTTGAGGCAAACGTTGGCATTTAATTCAATGCAATTTATGCAGTAATTTTTATGAACAATTATAAAGTTGAATGAAGTAGAGATGAATGCCACAATTTACCTAAGAATTATTTTACAAAATTGCACAAATTGGTTCGGCTTGTTTTTCAGGCAAATCGTTGCAGTCAATGCAACACAACTTATGCAATAACAATTACGCATGGCATTCTCACTTTGACCTGAATGCAATAATTCACACAAATTGGTTCTGCATGGTTTAAGGCCTATTCTTAGGCAAACAGTTGCATTCAATTCAATGCAATAATGTTTTTTTTTAATGAACAATTATGCACAGAAAGTTATTGTTTGTACACATTCTAACACTGAATTGAATGCAACAATTCATGCAAGAATGATTTTTACAAATGATTTACATAAATTAATTCTGCTTGTGTTTTAAAGCCTATTTTTAGGCAAACTGTTGCATTCAATTCAACACAATTTACGCAATAATGTTTTTTTCATAGAAAACTTTTCACAAAAAAAAAAAAGCCCGTTCTCACACTGAAATGAATGCATTCATTTATACAAATTGGTTCTGCTTGTTTTAAGGCCTATTTTTAGGCAAACCGTTGCATTCAATTCAACGCAATTTATGCAACACTATTTTTATGAATAAATCCACACAGAAAGTGGTTCTGCTTGTTGTGAGATGAATAAGGCCTGCTGCATGGAAGGAGAATCCCAAACACATGAGAAGAACACCAGCAGTGTGATATTAATGCTGCACTCATTCTTAAAGCACAGTTCAGCGGCAGATCAAAACACATCTGCCGTGGAGCGCTGGAGTCACACAGCCAGCTTGTTGCCGATGGTCATGAGCATTTTGAGGACAGGCATGAAGGCAGAGATCTCGCTGAAGTTGCTGCTGCTCACCACCTGCGTGTGAAGCTCCAGACCCTGCTGATAGTTACGGCTGCCGACGCAGCGGCTGATCTCGTGCAGGCCGCCGAGGATGCTGGGAGAGAGCTGAGGACACACGAGAGGTTTATTAGGACGCCTTAGAAACTGAAGACACGGAATAAACGTCCTCAACTCACCGCTTGGTCTCGCAGCTTGTCGTACAGACTCTCCAGACGCTTGGAGGCATCGTCCAGTTTGCGCTTCGTTTGCTGCAAGGGAAGTTCACATATGTGACCCTGGAGCACATAAGGGTCAATTTTTCGAAATTGAGATGTATACATCATCTGAAAGCTGAATAAATTAGCTTTCCATTGATGTATGGTTTGTTAGGATAGGACAATATTTGGAAAATCTGGAATCTGAGGGTGCAAAAAAATCTAAATATTGAGAAAATCATCTTTAAAGTTGTCCAAATGAAGTTCTTAGCAATGCATATTACTAATCAAAAATTAAGTTTTGATATATTTACGGTAGGAAATTTACTAAATATCTTCATGGAACATGATCTTTACTTAATATCCTAATGATTTTTGGCATAAAAGAAAAATCTGTAATTTTGACCCATACAATGTATTGTTGGCTATTGCTACAAATATACCCCAGCGACTTAACACTGCTTTTGTGCTCCAGGGTCACATATGAAATATACAAGTCCAGATCACAGCTCACTGGTCAGAAATCTGGCCACTTACGCAGGAAGAGACTGCATTTACATTGGCACAGAAAGTCTGGTTTTTCAGACACCGATTGGATGTTGTTGCACATCCGGATTTTTCGTTACAAACCTCTTCCAAATGTGCTTTTTAATCAGATACTGGACATTATTTTTAACTCTGATTTTGATTCGATAAAAAAAAAAAAATCATATAGCAGTAATACACAAAAAAAGGAAAAAAATAAATAAATAGAACAAGGGGCAGACATTCAGTAAAGATGAGTTTTCTTAATGTTCCTTGAACAAAAACTCGCAGCTTCTTATATTGAGGCAGAAACTGTCATTAATTTAATTCATCACAAATTAATCCGTCATCAGTTTGGGCTGAGAAATGACCCCTGAAAAGATCATTCAAAGTCATTATTGTTTTAAATGAGAAAAGCACTGAATAGACATTACAAGAAATATTCCGACTCTGAATTAATGATACTAAATGGGTATTTATGTTTTCTTTTTAAACAGAATATTGAAATTATAAAAAAAAAAATGAAATGATAAATATGAAACAAAAACCAACAGATCCTGCGTAATTCATTC